GCCAGGTCCAGGTGCAGGATCAGGATCCTCTGCTGACTTTTACCTCTCATTGTGCAACAGAGACATTATCTTAATGGGCAGCAGTTGCACCATGGGAAACATGGGGTTAGCTGTTTTCTAGGCAGCATTTTAAGTGGGTAGAAACAAGGGGTTTTGTCACTGAATTTGATTTGGGTTATAGCATTGCAGTACTGTCAAGAAGATGCTCTTGGATGGCGTGAAATGGCAGTCTGTGAAAATGCGTATTTTCTAAGGTGCCAGTTTAAGACTCATTGAAGTCAATGGGAACTTTTTTATTTGTTTTCCTGGGCTTCAGTTTGGGCTATAAACTATAGTGAATTTAGGAGAAGATCCCCAAAAATAGAAGCGTTCAGGACTGAATGTTGGGTTTGGCGAGGTCTGCTTTATGACTGGGCTTTATTAGTTAAATTCAGGCAAGGTCCAAGAAAATTATGCTGATTAAAAGGTTCTTTGGAAAATGTGTCCAAATGTCTCTATTTTTCTACTTAATGGAAAAGTGTTTGCCAAAGGACAAGAGATGCTTTGCTGAAAATAGAGCAAAAAAGTTTGCCAGTACTCAAAGCCTCTTTTACTTCATTTAGAAACTGTTTCTTTTTGTAGGTCATGCTGTCCAAATGAGGTGCAGAGGACTGCAAAGCAGCTGTTTGTTGTATCAGTTACGTCTCAACATTTCTTTGCAGTTTCTCCCAGCCTGTGTGCATATTTATATATTCCTTATATTACTGTTTAGCAGCACAGTGATTGAAGTTGGGAGGATTTTAACACTAACTCACTTTTCACTGTTTCCACACTTGTGTAAATCTGTCCTGTCACCCCTTAGGACACTGGACAGGTTCCTTTCTGCTGCTACTGGCATTCATTGTCCATGTTCCCACATCAGCACAGAGTGACTAAGCCACGTGTGCCTTGTCAGAAAGACCAGCCTGTGTCTTGTGAAAGCTGATGCAGCATCTCGTGCAGTCACCAACAAAGGTGGACACCACATGAGCATCAGTGCTGCGGGTCCTGGCCCAGTGCATCAGAAGTTCAGCAGGCAAGGCTGGAAAGGACAATGCACATCTTTTTCACATCACAGCATATAGTTCATGGGGAAAGACAAATGTGAATACTATCTGGTATATCAAGAACTAGTCCACAAAACACATTTTCTGCAAAAACATGAAGATGTGCATTGTCTCAGGCATATTCACCCCTAAAAAGAAGCAGGATTTAGCAGAGTCCCAAAATATAGAGGTGGCTTTACTTGCTGAAAGGTTAAAGGGAGATAAAGGAAGAGAAGACCTGGGGGGAATGACAGGACAGATCTTTCAGTGCTTATCTTTCAACCCACACAGCCACATTATCACATCAGTGTTCTGAATCTGAATTAGTCAGGGTCAGACTCTTCTGCCTTTGCCGGAGACTAAAGCCAATATGGATGTGTGGAAGTTTTGAACTCAGGCTTCTAAAATAGGACGTTGTAAGGAAGATACTGTGGAACAGGCTGCTGAAATCAGTTTTTATTCTTTTATGTAACCTCACCATTTCTAGAGAAATGACATTCCTCTCCTTGTTCATCTTATAATAGGGCTTGTTTACCCAGTAGAAACATCTGCTAGATGATTCTAGCAGATTGTGGCATCCACTACCTGTGTTCTGATGATGATGATGTCAGCAGACATTTGATTAACTACAGAAGCTTGAGCACCAAGGGGATCCAAGGTGGGGCACAAAGTAAATCACATCTAAGGCCCTCCATGCCCCCCCCCCCTCCACCTGCCAGCGCAGGTGGGCCTGCTGGCAGAATGGTAGTTTGAGGCCTTTGCTTGTGCAATGTGTGCTGTGATTACTGCAGGGGTAATTGAGGAAAAAAATGTGACTACTGCAGTACAATACAGCTTGTCACCTGCAACGTGGGTGGCAAACCCTTGCAAGGTTTGAGGATACTTTTCCTAAGATGCCCTGTAAGGACAAGATGGAAAAGAGTGCAAATAAAATCCTGGAGATTGGCCTCTATATGGCGGTGATGTACATGGGAGGCATCTTGGGCTGCTCACCTTTCAGACACTGATGCCCTAACAGAGGGCTGAGGGCTTCTTTCCTGTTGCTCACAATAAAAAAACTCTGGAGGCTCTTGCTTAGTAATCCATGCTTATCTGCAGCTGTTTGTCTGCTGCAGGCCCTGGGAATGCGGTCAGCCATTTCTGGGTAGTGTTTTTTGTTTGCATTCTTTTAAATGAAAACAGTGATTTTTGATTGGGACAAAAGAAGGACTGTGCTAGCTTAGTGCATTAATTTAGGTGGATTTTACTATATGTATAAGACACATAAACTGTTATTTGCTGTCTTCCTTTCTCTCTAAAAAAAAATCTATGTGCTTTCCTTTAAAAATGTATTTTGAGTGTAAGTCACATAGTGATAACACTAAATGTGGTATAAAGACGGTAACAGAAGTGGTTGTAACATTTATATATTTTTCATGACCGAAGTGCTCTGCAGTGGGAGATGCTATATATAAATGCCTGCTTGCCACTGGAGGAAACACACTTATGCTGCAAAAGATGTCAGCTGCATGACCGCAGAGCCCAGTTCTACTGGGCACAGGATGGATGGGCAGGCAGGACAAATGAGGGCTGGGGCGTCTGCCCTGGCGTGTCACTGAGGTGGGAAGGTTGGGTGGATGTTGCTGAGGAAGAGGCTGTGGTGGACAGGATGGAAATACTGCTGGAACAGAGAGGACACTCCACGCAGAAGCATCTGTTAATGCAGCAGAGGAGAAAGAGCCTGTCCTGGGCTGCCTCCTGTTGTGCCTCAGCTCTGCCACTTCTCCCTCTCCTTTCAGCAGCAGAGGCCTCTCCACATTGCGGTCATGGTGTTCAGCAGCACCCTACTTGCTCAGAAACCATGGGTTGTCTAGGTGTGCAGTGTACTCGGTGAGGAAAAGCACATAAAAGCTGAAGGAAAAGGGAAGAACGGGAAAGATGCTGCTATTGACATTTTCTCCTGGCTTTTTTTGTACATCTGTTGTGTTGCAACAGTATGAAGCAAATTCGAAGCATGCCGGCTGCCCTCTAGCCGTATCTTCTGAAATAGCCACAGCTTGCACAATTCCACAGCCATTTATGGGGACATTTTTTCCATTGGGAGCATGGCTGTTCTCCCTTCCCACCCTGCAGCCGAGGGCCCAGTGCCTTCCCTAGAGGCTAGAATGAATCAGGGAGTGTGTGCCAGAGCCGGCTGGCCCTGTTGCCTCTGCCTATTTGTGGTGGATCCTTGTGTGGCCATGGAAGGCAAGGAAGAGATGAAGCACTTGGGGCTGTGAATCCTGACAGCAGCGCCCTCATGGAAGTCACACACTGGCTGTATGGAAACCTGAGAGCATGTGAGCATCACTAAACAGCCATGGAAAAGTCTAAATTGCTCTCAATTAGAGGGATTTCAACATTTGCACAGGCACGAATCTGAAAAGTGAATTTTTTTTTTAAAAGTCCAGTGACTTTTACAGAAATGAATATTAAATAAAGGGCATTGCCTGTTATTGCACTTCAGATGCTGTTAGGTGGTGTGGCTTTTAAAACCTTTTTTTTAAAGGTCATGCTGTTTATGCTGCATAGTATCTAATACAATTGCTCTGTAAATTAGAAAAATGCTTTACAGCCTGCTGCTGTGCTTCATGGAGGTGAACAAAATTTGAAATCACAGGTCTCCTCCTCATGGGGAAGCAGTTGTGGGAAATATTTAATGTCAAAATAATCAGGGGCTTAATAGCCTAGTGATGAGCTATGGAGGCCTCTCTAGGACACCTTGCCACATCTCCTGCCTGCTCTCTAGAATATTTTCCCATTCTTGACACTGTTAAATTTGATTTTGCTTTACTGTCCTAGGAAGTTTTGTGCAAACTGTAGCATTACCTGACCCACAGCCATTTCCTTTAGCTGCACACAATATGGTCAGCCCTGACAGGTTTCTCTCCCAACAGGTAAAATTGACTTTCTCTATGCTGAAATGGCTGCAGGCCTGTCGAGTTACTATATACATAAATTCTCTGGAAGGATTAAGTATTCTATTCCTTTGCAGTAGCTTCAAAACTTCAAAAAAGGCTGTTATCTTTCCTTCCAGGTAAACCACACCATAGAAACTGGATTTTAAGGGACATTCAGCCTGATTCCAAAATTCTCCCCTGACAGTTCTTCAGGGAGCCAGTGTCAAAGGCAACCAAATGAGTTAAAGCCACAGGTCTTTGATCATTATTTTAAAAACTTCATCTCACACATTTCTTCAGAAGGCAGAATACACAAAAGGGAGAGCAGCCATGGGGCACAGAAACAGTCTGCATAAAACCACTGGAAGGTGTTTTGGTCTCACTTCACTGTGGAACATATAATATGGTTGAAAAGGGATGGGAAGACTGTTGAGAAAATACACTGACTGATGGCAGTGTGATAGAAATGCCAAGTAAGGGAATTAAGCAAATAAACAGAGTTTCAGAGATGAATTGAGAGATGCAGGAACAGTAACACAAGGAAAAAACTAAGAAGAAGATTTCTACTACCTAAGGGTAGAATCATAAGCCTTGCATGAAATGGAAGTTACGTGATGGAAGTTAGGTGGTTTTTTGAGAAATCCGGAAAATAACATAATTTCACATTCACAGGGTCTCTTACCAGAGACTGGTATATTCTGAGAATGGTATTTGGATTAGAGGGGCTGCATATGGAGGACTGAATTGCTAAGTAAGCACTTCCTACTAAGCAGGTTTGCAGCTGCCATCCAGATGGTGCAGGCACAGGACTCTGGGGGTCTCAGAAGCTGAGGGGCAGCACTGAGCAGTGTCTCTTAAGTCAGTTATGTCCAGCCATAACAAACTTTACTGCAAGAGTAGATCTAAACTGAGGTACCATCCTAATAGAGCCTTCTTGGATTATATTCCTGGTCCCTGTGGTAGGTATAGAATTTGCCAGAATACTCCTGCATTATTAGTGAGTCAGAAAAAGACACTGTTCATGTTTGTAGAACTGATTTTTTAATATAAAGCCATGTCTTGTGTTCAAATATACAATCAACGTGGTCTGCAAAATATTAAAAATACCTTGCAAAAGTAGAATAAAGAAACATTTCACACATAGACACAAATTACAGAATGAAAACAACTGTTTCTTCAAACTCTGTGCTAGAAGAGACAGACAACACTTTTTTTTTTAACCATCAACCAATGAAAAGAAACTTGGTCAAAATTTCAGAAGGATAAAATACTGTCTTACAGGTGAAAACTCTATGATATTTCTATAATGACATTCTTGGTCGACACATCCTAAACTGCATTTAACGTGACAGGTTACTGAGAATGCCCCTAATTATTTGATGCAGGTTAATTTAATGAAAATATTCTATTTTCCACTGAATGCTGCTAAAATACAGCACAAAATCTTTAAAGATTTTTGCAAGCGTGAGTATCACCTCACAAGTTCTCATTTCTGCTGTCCAGTTAACACCATTTACTCAGCCCACCCAATGATCTTATACATCAGAGCCCTCAAAAGCCGGGCTTCGTAGGTGACTGTGTTTTTCCCACTGTGCATCCTACTCTCTTCCAGGGGGTGCTCAATGACAGCTGGGATGTTTCTCCCATACAGCTCGCACTGCTTCAGGAACTGAACACACTCCTGGATGACGCTGTCACGCAGCATGATCATGTGCTTGGACATGTTCTCCAGCAGGGACAGGAAACACCGCTTGGCGTAGTACCATGTGTCAGTGCTCAGCTTTTTGTTATACGGCTCCAGACTTTTAATGATCCTTGAAATACCAAAGTCATAGTTTCCCTTCACACAGTAGAGGGTACCAATGACCAGATTGACAATGCAAAGATGGTAGGTGTTTTTATCAGGATTGTCATAGGACAGCTGCTCTTCTGCTTTCTCAATCTTCCTCATTAGTTCCTCTGCATCTTCATTCTGGCTTGTCAGGATGTAGGAAACACAGAGGTTGGCTAACACAATGGCACTGACATTGAGGATGTTGTCATAGTGCTTCTTAACTATTGGCTCATAGAAGCTGATAGCCTCTTTGTACTTGTTCTCTTGCATGAAGAGCACATGAGCCACGTTGAGCTTCCACACCTCGTGTTCCTTGCAGAACTCCACTGATTTGCGGAAGATCTTTTCTACCATTGTGTAGTTCTTCATGTCCCAGTAAATCTTTGCTTGGGCCATCAAGACAGGTACATATTTATCCAGAGTCTCATCATACTCATTAACTGCCTTTTTAAGAGCTTCATCATCCCAGTTTTGCCTAGCTTCCTGTACCTGCTTCGTGAGTTTTCTCAGCTGCTCAGTCATTGTCCCTGCTAAATCATCTAACTTGTGGAAAGCCTCCTCAGGGGCAGTTTGACAAGTGATAATGGCATCCAAGAAGTTGTACAAGTAAGGTGTGAGCAGTTTGTAAGTCAGATGGGTATTCTCCGCCAGCACATCAGCTGCCAGATCGTAGTACTGATGCTTGCAATAGAGGAGTAGCAAGTTACCAAAAGTTTCTGGCGGACAGGGGTTCTGCAGGAGGAGAAACTGCAGCTTCCCAAACCCTTCAGTGGGCTGGCTGTCCATGTTCATCAGTGCTTGGTTGTGCAGCGTGACAGGATCCAGCTCCTCCTCGGCCCTCGGGGGCATGTCAGTGAGTGCCTCCTGGGCCGCCCGCAGGTTGCGCAGCTGGTACTCGATGGCTGCCTTGAGGTTGAAGGCCTCCACCAGGGCCGTGCGGTGCAGGAGCAGCGTGTTGCCCACGCTGCGGACGTCGATGCCCTCGGTGGTCATGCCCACGCTGAGCTCGGGGTGCTGGTGGATGCCGTGCTTGATGATGTCGGAGATGTACTTGAGGGCGGCCGGGTACTGCTTGGCGGCGTAGGAGCACAGCGCCATGTTGTAGGACAGCTCCGGGCAGTACCCCAGCACCTGCATGGCGCTGCCGAACTTGCCGCTGGCCTCCTCGTGCCGGCCCTGCCGGTACAGCAGGCAGCCCAGGTTCACCTCGGCATCGGCCCGCTCCGAGGGCTCCTCGGCTGCGCCGGGGCCGCCATCAGCGGCGGCGGCCAGCTCCTCCTCCACCAGGCTCTGTGCCGCCGGGAGGTCGCCCTGGGCATAGTGCACAGCGGCCTGGAGCCGCAGGGCCCGGCGCTGGAAGGCGGGCACGTCCAGCAGCGGGCTGGCGGCGCGCAGGGCCTCGGCAAACAGCCCGGCCTTGTAGAGGGCCTGCGCGTGGCACAGCCGGTACGGGGCCAGCTGCGGGTGCAGCGCCGACAGCTGCTCGTAGCACTCGGCCGCCGCCGCGAACTCCTGCAGCTGGTAGTGGCAGTAGCCCAGCAGTGAGAGGCAGCCACGGGAGCGGCTGCTCTTCTGCAGCCCGCGGCTCAGCAGCGACACCGCCTCCGCGTAGCGCCCGCCTCCGATCAGCCCGTACACCACGGCCGTGTGCTGCCCGTCGGGCACCGGTGCGGCCTCCATGGCCGGCACCGGCACCGCCGCGACGGGGGCGGAAGCGGAGCCCTCGCTGCCATGGCAACGGCGCCGCCGGGCCGGAAGCGGAGCCCTCGCTGCCACGGCCGGAAATGGGTATTTCCCCGTTGCCATGGCAACGGCGTTGTCGAGCCGGAAGTCACGTTGCGGGCGTTGCGAGGAGGCGGTGTGAGCGCGGCCCGGGACGCTGGGAACGGGGCCGCCCCTTCGGTAGGGGGATGGCGGCGGCCGCGTGCCCAGGCTTGTCCGGCCGCCCTGATGCCGGTCGGGGCTGGTACCCTGGAGAGGAGCCGCGTCCTCTGCGTTTGCCCGCCCTTTTGTGTTCCCCTCCTGTCTCTCGGGCAGATTCCAAACTGGCTCAAAGAGCTCGAGCCTCATGAAGTCGCCGCCTAGACCGGGACTTTCCCCTCCTTTCGGGATCTCATGCAGCTGGAAACAATAAAGAGTAAAAATCAACTGTATTTCTAAATGTTTTGTGATAGCTCCCTTAAGCAGGCGGTATGGTGTAAAAGCAGGCCTTAAGCTAAATACGCAGTCTGGGAGCGCAGGAAGTATATTATTGCTGTCGTGGGCTTTTTCAACCTGAAACATCCCCGTCACAGCCCATCAAGACCCACAGTTTGTTACGGCTGGTGGAAGGCAGGAAGTGTGTTTGTACCTTGGCACAATCCACCGGCTTTCCTGCAGCTTTAAAAAGTAGAAGAAATTATTTCCAACTTTTCCGAAACTACTTCAACAATGTAACTGTGCTTTGGAGGAACTGGTATTTCTACTGAACAGTGGTGCATCCAGATCACAGACTGTATAATCTGTGTAATTACATGTGAACAGCTCTGGAAGAGTCACTGTCCAGATTTGGTTTCTGGTCATTCCAAACTGATGCCAAGCATACTCAGTGAAGAAGTTTGGTTTGCTTGCAAGGTAGTGTGTCAAAAATCGTATCTGGGCCACTCAGTCTCACGTGTTTCCAGGACCTTCTATATGTGTGATTCATTAATCAGTAGATATAGCTCTGATTCATCCCAACAAGGCAGTTTCAAAGCAAAAAAGCAATAATAAAGAAAGAAAATCACAGCAAGCCATTAAAATTGTTTTATTTTTTTTAGAGAGACCAATAAAACCAAGTTGTTAATTTCAAAAACATGCTTTAAAAAACTGAATAAGCACAGTTTGATCTACTAAAGCAAACAATAAGAGTAATGGTCTTAAAATGCAAAAAAACGGAAAAGGATGCAGAAGTCTTTTTAAAAAGTTACACATTTTGCAAGTATGTGGGATTCACTTGCATTAGAAAGGTACACATGGTACTTCTGTGCATTTGTCAGTTGTTTCCCACAGGCAAAGGTTCAGGGGTTATAATGGTATTCCCCATACAACTGTAAGATGCAGTGGCAACATGCTTATGAATTTGTAATTAAATACAAATTAATCCAAGAAAGAAAAGGTAACAAGCAATATACAGTATGTATTCCAATACTGGCACATTCAAGTGATGGAAATCTGTGGAGTATCTCATTTCAGCTGATTTATACCTCCCACTTCATTGCTATGTTAGAAACCATTTACATGACTTTACTCTTTAAATCTTTCATTCCTTTGACAAAGCCAATAAGAAAAACCTTCTTGCTTTACATTTTCTTGCCCCAAACATTCAGCATTGGAAATGTCTGTTAATGTATTTTACATAACCTTGAAATAAACCTGTTTTAAAATTTCACTCAATGCATAAGTGACCTATCAGTAACTAAATTGTTTTAATTTTATGAAGGGAAAATAAGTATTTGGCCTGTAGACTGAAACACTCCTATTTTTCCACTAGGATTACTTCATCTAAATACTACAATTGACCTTAGGCACTGCTGGTTGCAGTTTTCAAAAATAATTTGTGAGTACTAGTATTGGCTTTGTTGGTAACTACAGGCACATTATGAGATTGCAGTGCACTCTAAGAAGGAGCAATTAGCAAGGTCACCAGACCAGAAAAATGCAGCTGCTGTACCAAGGACACCATCTGAAGAAATACCTGAGCTAAAATGAAACATCCTTGTCTGCTCTGTGATTACAAAACATACAATCAACCTTCTGGGCAAGACCTTGGCCCTGTAAATAAAAATGGTTGGCTCCATGGAGAGTTGTGTCCACCGCCACGAGACATCCAGTTTAAACTTCTGGGAGCTACTGCTGCCTGTCCTTGTGAGACTTTGCTTTGGAGCAGGAGCAAAACCATGTCCTGACAGAAACAGATGTCTACATCTTCATCATGTTATGAAGCTGTTGTCGTTTGTCTGTAGGTCCCAGGCTGGGAGAGAATTGTCTGATTTTACTACTTGAACTATGGCCAAAGACACCTTTTGGGAATCTCATTCTTGGGAGGTGGGAAACCCTTCTGCCTGAGCCACAGCAGAGCTTCTACTCATGTGCTCCTTGCCTGGAACAGTGTTCGGTTCTCTGGTGGGGTCACAGTGTCATGTTGTAGGGGAGCACTTCAATCCAGAACGGTTTACATATGAGCCTCTCCTGAGCTCTTCCACCAAAGCCTGTCTGCTCCGTGCATCTCCCAGGAGTGATGCAGAAATTGGGGCTGTACCCAGCAGGCATCCTTGTCTCTGTGCTAAGCACAAGTAAGGGGCTTTGGCAGAAGGGCAGGAGACAAGACCACCATTGTGACTCCCCACAGCCTGGTGAGGAAGATGCCCCTGCAGTTTGAAAGCCTGCTGCAAATCAAGCAGGATTTGAGTATCAGGCTTTTTCCTGATTACCCTGTGCAATTCTAGGACAGTTCTGTGTTTGTTTTGTTGGGTTTTTTTTTTTGCAAGGAAAGGTTGATTTCGGTAAGTGGTCTCACAGGTGGGAATCCTGAGAAGAATTACTGTTTGGCCTGAACCATCTTTGAGGATAGGGAGGAAGATCCAGATCTTCTCCTGAGCATTTTTCTGGTGAAAAAGTGAGGGCTGCTGCCTGGCTCCCTAATTCATGGGACTAAAAACCTGACTGAATTCAGGCTGCAGTTAGCACAATTCAGTAGGACACCTAGAAAAAAGGCATTGCCATTGAACCAGCTTAAAGCACCTTTGGGGGACAACAAAGCCTGTGTGATCCTATGGATAATCTACATGCTCATCCTATTTTAGCACTGGAATTGTAAATTCTAGAGGCCTCATTTAAGGGTAAATTTCCACTGACTGCTGGAGCAAGTAAGTGGTTCTTTGTCTGTTGCTGATGTGTTGGGCATCTGCAGGGGAAGGCCAAGCACATGCCCTCTAATTTGTCCTCACCTCTTGTGGACCCATGTTTTATATGCACTCACAGAATTAAGATGATTTCAATGGGTTTTTTAATGTCTCCTTGTTCAGCAGGCAGGGAAGCAAGTAAAAGATGTAGAATGAGATTAAACGATCTACACAGTCATCTCTCCTGTGCATATCTTGGAAGTTTGGCAAAACTGACTGAAATACTGCGAAATACTGCAAACCAGATACAATTTCTGTCTATCAAGCTTATGAGCAGTAGCTAAAAAGTGTTTTCCACCATCTTAAAATATAATAGGCTTGGAATACATTTCTTTACTGTACTGCATGCTTCCACAAAGAATCTTCTTTTTCTCTCCAACATTTTTTGTTTTAAGAAATAGTATAAGATTTTTGTTTGTTTAGTTTCAGAGACCAAATGCTGTTCTGAGATGCACTACCGGGCCCCCCGGTTTCAGCAGGGTTGCTTCATTTCGCCTGAGAACAATTTGATAAGATCGAGCTGTGTGCTCTCATTTTCTTCCTTGTGATGGAGGAGCAGAACCATAACATTAGTCAGCAGTTTCTGAATTTTGACCCACAATGGCAAAGATACCAAAAGACAGGAGAAATAGATGGAGGCAATTACAAACAGTCACTTGATTGATGGTTGACATTGTTAGAGCTTCAGCTGTGTGTCAGCTTGCGGTGGTGCCGAATCCCTATCCCTGCCGGTGGGTGTTGCCATGGGCAACAGTGCACTGAAGCCAATAAAAAGGAGAGGAAATGAGGGGAGACTCAACCTTCGGGGAGGCTGTAGGGTATGCATTATAAATTATGTTATACTTAGCAATATGCAATACCAAAATTCAGGAAATCTGTGTGTACCTGCCAGCAGTACTGTTGGTTCCTAGTATCTGTTTCTCCCATAACGTATGTATTGTAAGTTTGTATGGCTTGCTGCTTACTGTACTGTGTCTGCCCTTATTCAGAGAAGAAAGAAGTGGTAAAAGAATAGCAGAAATATTTCCATTTGATGCATGTACTCACTGCTGTGCAGTCTGCATTTCTGGTCCTTCCTGCTTCTTTCTGCTAGAGAAAGTGATGTGGTTCTGTTGTGCACTGACAAATTGGCTCACAATGCTACTGAATTTCCAGCTATTGTCCTACACACTGTGGTTAGAAGCACAGAACCTTTTTGTTGTGTTTCTTTTAAAGAAGTGATCAGCAGATTTGTTGTTTCTGTTTGATTGTGAGACAGATGTAGTCAGCTTTCCTAAGGCGCTAACGACTCACTTTCCTTAGAAAGGAGGAAACCTCTTTTAGCATCTGGTCAGCTGAGCCAGGTTCTGATTTCCATTAAGTTGGTGCCAGTTCAAGGTAATTCCACTGAAGTAAACGGAATTTGGCACAGGTGTAAAACTAAGCTGAATTCAGCTTTAATTTCTGCTGCCAGACAACCCTATATTTAGAATCCCATTTTTCATGGAGTACAAAGGCTTTCTCCCCCCCCCCCCAATGAATGGGCAGTCGTTAGCACTGCAACATGACTCCTTTTGTGTCCGGTCATGCAGCAGAGAAAGCACCCTCAAATCATAGATCACAGGTTTGCTACACTAGTGATCCTTGTACTAATAAAAAGAGACCAACTTCCAGGTAATACCAGGGTCATCACACAGAACTGGATATGTTTGGTTTTGTGACCTATCATGTTTGATTAGATTTTTATGGACACCTTTACCACTGATGGCTACATGTGAGCCTTGACTAGAGCAGTGCTAGCTGTAGTAATAGCATCTGAAATTGTACTGAAAGACCTGC